CAACTGCCTCTTGGTCCAGGTATAGATTCCTCATGAGCACAATAGGTACAATATTTTCATATTCCCCTTATATTTCCTTTGTAGTATTTATGACTGCTGCTGGTCATTGCTATCAAGTTGGCTCTGCTTTATGTTGACTTTATATATGCTAGAATGAAATTTCCTGATGTAGCACTGTACACTAAGCGCTGGACTGCCAACTGTAAGGTCAGAAGTTCCAAACCCACCAAATGCTCTTAGAAGCGCTATACAGGGTCACTATAGTTCAGAACCCACCTACTGGCAACACAACAACAACAGAATGAAATATTGCTTGGCCTTGACTCTCTTCATGGTTGTGTCACCACATCTCACTAAGTGCTGCCTTTGTTTTCACTGACCCTCTACTTTACCAAACATCATGTCCTTTTTGAGGGTTTGACCTTTTCTGATGATGTGTTCAAAGGAATTAGCAAACATCTCACCATTCTCACATCTAAGAAGCATATATTGTTTGTGGCAGCTTATAACTCAATAATATATTTCAGTAATTATTTACCATCAGCCTCCCTCTATGAGTTCAGTCAGGGCAGAAACCACATCTTTCTTCTTCTCCGATGTATCCTCACCACCTTACAGTGCTAACCACATAGCAGAAATCTTACTATTGTCTTTCCAGCTGTATATGATACCAGATTAAACCACTCCATTTTTTCTTTCTTTTTCAGGAAAGAATGAAAATGAAGTAGCTGTCACTCCAGCGGAGCCTGAAATTCCTGAAGTATCTGAAAGCAAAAATGTGCACATTGTATGCAGCTGAGTATATGGGGATCTGGGAAGGTCTTCAGAGACCTGGGTGGGACCCTAAATTCTGTGTTTTAGGTTCTTACCCAACCCCTCTATTTAATACAACTTCAAGACTCTCTACAGGCAGAGGAAGCCCTAGAGTAGTGGGTTGCTTCCTGTCCTAGTTGGAATGACACTGCTTGGTGAAGGGCTTGCCATCTGCCCCCATAAAACTGAACATCTAGCATCTGTATGAGTGTCCTTCCAAATCCTGTGAGTAATACACCAATTGTCATCAAAATAAAGGCTGGTAAGAGACGTATTTTGATCTCTTAAGTTCAGTTTCCAGAAGCTAGGGGTGACCTTTTCCCCAGACATCACACTTCTAAATGTAATGGGCTCTTTAACTTAAAAAAAAAAAAAAAAAATCTGGCAAGCCTTTGAAATCTGTTTTAATATTCTCAGCACTTATCCAAGAGAAAATTCAGACAAAATTGAACAACAGCCTGAGTTTCTCTGTTGTTTTTTAAATACCCGGATTAGAACATAATTCATTTTAAAATGATGGGAGGCCTCTCTTCAGGCACTTCACACTTTGAAATATTTTAGAAAACAATATCCATTTTGGCAGGCCTTTTGCCATGCAAGAAACAAGAGCAAATACTTTTCTTCTTGAGTGTTAAGTCTGTTGTGAGTAAGATTACAAAAATAATAATAAATTTAAAATACTTTGTTCTTTTATGTTGCCTCTTGTTTGGGGATCTCTGCAATAATGAATTATACTCATATTCATTGTCCCACTTTTTTAGAAAGGGACATTTTATTGAACCATATAGTTGGTAAAGCAGCTGCCCTGTGGTCCAATAGAAAATCATTCATTCATTTACTTACTCATTCATTAAAATATCTTCAGAAATTACTACATGTCAACCACTAACCACATCCTAGGATACATAAGTGATACTCTTACAGACCCAGCCCTCTTAACTTCTAGTAGAGGAAACAGATCATCAAACAATAAAGGTGCTATAAAGAATCCCCCTTTGCCCAGCTTGAAGCTGTCAGGAAAGGTTTCACACAGACTTCCAGCAAGATGGTGGACTAGGTAGCCACACTACACAGACCTACTTCAACAAAGATATGAGAGACAAAATGAAATAGATACAGATGATAATCCTGGAAGCCTGAGCTTTACAGCAAAAGACAGCAGTGGATTGAATATTGACTAGGAGAAGAAGCTGAACAAAAGTGGTGATGGAGAACACAAACAAGTGAACTGTTGGCTTGCCTGACACAGTGTGACTATTTTAAATTTTTGCAAGTATCATTTGATCAAGACAATGGCTTGACAATACAGATAAACACTAGTGACTGGCAATGAGAAAGATGTGATTATCCCTTGTTCCCCACACTCTCCTGGTAACCGTAGATGGTCAGCCCTCACCTACATCCACACCCAGCCCCTAAACAGCCCCCGCTCTGCTAGAGATTGAAGCAGTGCTGTATGGATCTAGTGCCAGGTACACCACCCCTCCTGTTTGAAGACATATGAACTCTACCTCATCAGACCAGCTGAACGCACAGTGCCAAATTCCCCACCACCCCTGGGAGAGCAGGAACTCTGACTTCAGCCACCACTTTTAGCCATCAAGTATGACTTCCAGATCAGGTACTCTGACCATAGATACCACCTGTTGTTGTTATTTTTAAGTGTTGTTGAGTCTTAAGTCTTCAGAAATTCTATCTATGGCCAAACACCCCAATCTCTCAGTCCTACCCCACCCTGTGTCTCCTTGGCGGACAGAGGATGCCAACCCATACAAGTTGCCCCCTACAGTTTTCTCCTGAATCTGGCCGTGCTCCAGTTTTTTCCTTTGTTTTTTTTTA